CGAAACAGATTCCACTGGGCGTAAAAGGCAAAATATTGGCAGAGCTCCAGATAAGCTGCGTATCTGCGTAAAATACGCATCAGAAATGCAGAAATACGCAGTAAAGAAAATCCAAGCGTATCAAATACGCAACGAACATTACAGATACGCTACAAAAATAAAACTTGTGCGTATCATCAAAATATTGTGAAGTAACCCTGCTATTCGATTAGCAAGTCAGCAACTTATTTTGAAATTATGAACGGGCATTCCGCAACCTTGCTAAACTCCACTATGACAGTTACATCATGATCATTTGCCATCACAATTTCTTGTGGAAGTATCTTGGTATTTTTGAGTCCTATAAAGCTCTCGAACCCACACGAAACAAGTTTGCAGGGACTAGATGAATAGTGTTTTTAAATATCTAACTTAAATACCCACATGTGTAAAAAATAGTGGGTAACAGAAATTTGAATACCCAGATAGAATTACTGATACCCAATGATTTTAAAATGCATGGGTAAAATACCCACAACACCAAAAGCTTATCTTGTGCTCTGTATTGGTGAGAATTATGTGATGACACCAGGTGTTCGCGATTGCCACGATTCGTTGTGCCCTCGTTTTGAAAAATGGTTTCTGCAAATGGCTTCTCTCTATGTGTTTTACAATGAACAAACGAAAATAGTAAAAAAAAAAATCAACATTAAAAAAACAGTCAAGACGAATTTATACCACATATATTCATTGTTAGGAAAATATACTTGATGCCGTTTTGAATTTTTCTTACAAACGAATTTGTCGGGAGTAAGGAGAAACAGACCTAACCTGGTTACTCAATCTTGGCACAACGACAACGGTCGCTGTTTGACTGAGTAATTGGTGTTACCCATTTATGAAACACACAAACTGAAACATTGCCAGTGACGAATCACAAGCAATACTGATAGCCATAGATATGGGATTCTGAAAAAAATATCCGGATACAAATTTGGACATTGTGCCAAGCTTCGCAAACTTCCAACTTCAGCCTGCCAAATTGGCTTCCCCAAAACTACAAAACGCTAAATGTTCTTCTTTCCATTTTCTCGCGTTTTGTCACATTCTGGGCCCTTGAGTTGTACCATCTGATCAAGGCGCACGCGCAAGTTTCTGTTTAACGGGTATACGTCTTTCGACATCCTCGTTTTCTTGGTTGTGTTTCAACGCATGACTGAAACTGTTTTCATGAAACTTACCACAAAATTGTCTGGTAATACAGGAGTACAGCTGGTGCGGCTTTTGGCAACAACAAATTCCTACTTTTATATGAAAATTGTGTGATTGGCGGGTGCTATCTTTAGAGCAGGACATGCTTAACATTTTAGCGAAAACCTCGTGTCATCCTTTATTTTCCGTTATCCGTTCATATAATTTCCATCACTATTTTGCCTTTTACGCTCTATGGAATCTGTTTCGGTGGATAATAGAGACTGATTATTCTCTGGTGTTGACGTCATGAATTAATAATAAACAAGTAACTTCGAACAACTTACTTCACATGGAAAGGGGTGGTGGGGTAGCCTAGTCCTTAAAGCTGGAATATTGCTAAAAGCGGCGTAAAACCATACTCACTCACATGGAAAAATAATCTGAAGCCATACAACATGTATAGCTTGTCTGGTTTAAATCAACGTGTTTTCGCACTTCCGGTATTTTTTACCACCAAGATGACGAAAACACAACAATGCCCAATCCAGTATTCCATACATTGCTCCTTAACTGTACTTTACTTTAACGAATTGCAATCGCAACTATGCGTTACCCATTAAAATATACATTTGTCATCAACAACATTTGCAAATAGTTGAGTTCAGTCTTACATGGCTCTTGTTTGATAAAGCTATATCAACAATTGGCAGAGGACGCTGTTGTGGAAAGATTGAGAAATCACCAAAGCAATTTTCATTAACAAATCTGACAGTTTGACAGTCAGTGGTCTAAAGGTGGCCCACACTCTGACATGATGTCAATAGCACTGGCGAAATTGATCCAATTTGGCGATGACCAATGACTCAAGTGTATAGGCGAGTACCATTGTCAGATGTTATATTTGAAAACGTATCTGTGTCCTCGTGCAGACAGAATTGCCCAGACGTACTTGTCGCCCAATCAGTTTATGAACTGTATTGAAGTGCCAAAATCTAGTCGCATTGTTTTCTATATCAAATAAAATAACTGTTTTTGACGGTTAGGGATCACTGTGTCTGGGGTCATGATTTACAATATAAATAATTATGCAAGGATAAGCTTTTATATGCGGATATGGTGCAAACAGGAACCTTATCAATAAAATTACTGATATATATTTATTAACTACCCCTAATTGAAAACTATATTCACAAAACGTGCGATGCACATTCTGTTACCTGAATTCAATGTTTCACCTTGAAGACCCGTGTTAGAAATGGTCTTCATGGATGGTCAGACCCGCTTACTTGGTTGATGCATGTAATCGTATCCTGTAGATCGATGCTCATGATCGATACACTGAGATTGTCTGGACCAGACTCGATTACTTTCATACAGCCGTCATAGAGTTTGAATATTGTTGAGTGCCGCGTTACACGAAGAAGACATTCAAGTACCAGTATAACAGGTGACCGTGCCGTACACCAATACCAAGCAATGCTGTTGAACTAGACTCACTTTTCGTTTCTCAAATGAAAATATGTTATAAGAAAAACGTATCTGAATAAAATATAATAAAATAAAAACCAGAGACTCTTCATTTTTAGAATCCTAAAATGCAGAAATCTAGATTTGCCAACTTATAAACTTGCATTGGCCATATTGGCTATATTTGTTTTAGGGTCTGCATGATTTTATTTGTTGTTTAACGCCGCGGTCAGCAATATTCCAGCTATATGACAGCGATCGGTAAATAATCGTGTCTGGATCAGACAATCCAGTGATTGATATCATGAGTATTGATCCAGGCAATTGTGATACGGTGACATGCATCAACCAAGTCAGCGAGCCTGACCACCCGATCCCGTTAGTCACCTTTTACGACAAGCATAGTCGTCTTTTACGGCAAGCATGGGTTGCTGAAGACCTATTCTACCCCGGATCTTCACGGGTCGGTCTGCATGGCAGACTACTTTGAAACATACTTATCATATAATTTATTGTATGTGTCCTGTTTATCTTCAACAATATCTATACAATATACATTGGCCGATGGCTTCTATACAACACGAAACAACATTTTTCTATATATCCAAGTGGAGTGATTCCGTTTTTAAACCGTTTTTATTACAATTTGTTTAAATAATTATATTAGCGAGAAAGTATGGAGTACTGTAAAGGACATTATCACATACTCACATTCGTGCAATTTCGACCTTTGATGAGCTTTCAAACATGCCCGAAAACATAAAAACGCAAAACCGCGACAGTGTCCCTTACATTATTCCACAGGAAAGCCATTAGATTCGTTTTGAAACACAAGACCTGTTTTAAAGTTGTGATGCACAACAGGCGATTGTAGTGTTGTATTTATTGCTCACGTAAACTGAATGAGGTATGTGATTACACTTCCAAACTAAAACATTCATGGAGAAACCCTTGCATGAATACTAAAGAAGTAACTAGTTATTAAAGCAAAACATGTGTCGTGTCCAAAACATTAAAGCTTTTGCATCAGTGTGACCATGGACACTTAATACGATATATGTTAGGTCCATGGTGTGACCGAACATAATTGGAATATATTTTTGTCGGTTGACAGTGTCATGGTGTCACAAAGAAATAACTTATATCATGTTTTGATGCAGTAAATATTCAGATTAACGGTTGATGAAAGATATAACAATGGACCCGTACATGTGAAACTAAATCCGACAGACTGTGTCCTCATTATATCATCAACTGCAGAGCAAATGTTTAAGGATTAATTACATTTCATATTTAGATGTGGGCTATATACTCCGTTAGATCTATATGGACATTAATCAGATTCTAAAAAGTGCTTAAATACCGAGATTACGGAATATGATGTATCATATGTGGATATTGTTATCGATGAAAATAAAATAATTCGATAAACTTGGTATCACTATCCGATAAATATGCAAATGAAGTCACAGGAACTACTTTTTATCTCCATGTATTGATTCATTGCTTAATAGACTAGTGTCTCACGTTCCCCAAAAAATTAGATTGGGTTGATTATGTGGTGTGGGTGATTAATCATGTGGACAAAGATGGCTGTAAATCTGTTTTGACTATATGATAAATTGGGCGATTCACTCAGTCACTGTATTCATACGCGGTTTATAAAGTTACTTCATGGTGGGAAATTACGATCAAACGTCGCTTATTATAACACGCAGCTAATAATCTCTATGTATTATAAAACATGACTATTTCTATACCTTGTCTTGTTATATGTATGTCTAATATTGCAGGAGCATGGGTGGCCCAGTCGTCATAGGCATGCCATGATTCAGTGATCGTGGGTTCGGATCCAAGATTCCACCTGATTCATCTTCCGGAGGCAAGAGCGAACCTTTTTATCAAAGACTTGTTTCTGCTAGGCTTTGATATAGGGTAGTGGACACGCTTGCCTCAGGAAGATGCCCCTGATTATGCTTCTTGGGTTGTCAGCGCCATACCCGTGCTCGTGGGTTTCACCAAAATGGCAAACGTCTGAGACCTGCATCCTTTTCCCTCCCACATCAAGCTGTGAGTCCCATAGTAAGTGAAACACTGTTCACAGCGACCTTCACGTTACATTGCATTGTTAATGTTCGCTGACAATGTACCAGACTGCTTCATGTATTATCGGGCCAATTGGCAGTCTTGCAAGTTTGATTCAAGTCATTCAAAGCCCACTTTGTTTGTCTGCCAACGTGTTATGATGTATGTCGGTGTAGCACTAATTACACATGGATGTCTCAAGTGTCCACATGGCACTTTGTACAAAGTCTAGACGTGGATTGAACATGGGTAGGGAACCATGACCTCGGGGCAGGATGACATACAGTCAGACAAGTGGGACGTTGTTACCACTGCAGACCAATACTTCTACAGACAGTGGCGCAGACCCATGCCTCTACAGACAGTGGCGCAGACACATACTTCTACAGGCAGTGGCGCAGACCCATACTTCTACAGACAGTGGCGCAGACTCATACTTCTACAGACAGTGGCGCAGACTCATACTTCTACAGACAGTGGCGCAGACTCATACTTCTACAGACAGTGGCGCAGACCCATACTTCTACAGGCAGTGGCGCAGACACATACTTCTACAGAGAGTGGCGCAGACCCATACTTCTACAGGCAGTGGCGCAGACACATACTTCTACAGGCAGTGGCGCAGACCCATACTTCTACAGACAGTGGCGCAGACCCATGCCTCTACACACAGTGGCGCAGACCCATACTTCTACAGGCAGTGGCGCAGACACATACTTCTACACACAGTGGCGCAGACACATACTTCTACAGGCAGTGGCGCAGACCCATACTTCTACAGACAGTGGCGCAGACCCATACTTCTACAGGCAGTGGCGCAGACCAATACTTCTACAGAGAGTGGCGCAGACCCATACTTCTACAGGCAGTGGCGCAGACACATACTTCTACAGAGAGTGGCGCAGACCCATACTTCTACAGGCAGTGGCGCAGACACATACTTCTACAGAGAGTGGCGCAGACACATACTTCTACAAGCAGTGGCGCAGACACATACTTCTACAGGCAGTGGCGCAGACTCATACTTCTACAGACAGTGGCGCAGACCCATACTTCTACAGGCAGTGGCGCAGACACATACTTCTACACACAGTGGCGCAGACCCATACTTCTACAGGCAGTGGCGCAGACCCATACTTCTACACACAGTGGTGCAGACACATACTTCTACAGGCAGTGGCGCAGACACATACTTCTACAGACAGTGGCGCAGACACATACTTCTACAGGCAGTGGCTCAGACCCATACTTCTACAGACAGTGGTGCAGACACATACTTCTACACACAGTGGCGCAGACACATACTTCTACAGGCAGTGGTGCAGACACATACTTCTACACACAGTGGCGCAGACCCATACTTCTACAGACAGTGGCGCAGACCCATACTTCTACAGGCAGTGGCGCAGACCCATACTTCTACTGACAGTGGCTCAGACCCATACTTCTACAGACAGTGGTGCAGACCCATACTTCTACAAGCAGTGGCGCAGACCCATACTTCTACAGACAGTGGCCCAGACCCATACTTCTACAAGCAGTGGCGCAGACCCATACTTCTACAGACAGTGGCGCAGACCCATACTTCTACACACAGTGGCGCACACCCATACTTCTACAAGCAGTGGCGCAGACCCATACTTCTACAAGCAGTGGCGCAGACCCATACTTCTACACACAGTGGCGCAGACCCATACTTCTACAAGCAGTGGCGCAGACCCATACTTCTACAGGCAGTGGCGCAGACCCATACTTCTACAGACAGTGGCGCAGACCCATATTTCTACACACAGTGGCGCAGACCCATACTTCTACAAGCAGTGGCGCAGACCCGTACTTCTACAAGCAGTGGCGCAGACCCATACTTCTACACACAGTGGCGCAGACCCATACTTCTACAAGCAGTGGCGCAGACCCATACTTCTACAGGCAGTGGCGCAGACACATACTTCAACAAGCAGTGGCGCAGACCCATACTTCTACACACAGTGGCGCAGACCCATACTTCTACAAGCAGTGGCGCAGACCCATACTTCTACAAGCAGTGGCGCAGACCCATACTTCTACACAAAGTGGCGCAGACACATACTTCTACAAGCAGTGGCGCAGACCCATACTTCTACAAGCAGTGGCGCAGACCCATACTTCTACACACAGTGGCGCAGACTCATACTTCTACAAGCAGTGGCGCAGACCTATACTTCTACAGGCAGTGGCGCAGACACATACTTCAACAAGCAGTGGCGCAGACCCATACTTCTACACACAGTGGCGCAGACCCATACTTCTACAAGCAGTGGCGCAGACCCATACTTCTACAGACAGTGGCGCAGACCCATACTTCTACAAGCAGTGGCGCAGACCCATACTTCTACAGGCAGTGGCGCAGACCCATACTTCTACAGGCAGTGGCGCAGACACATACTTCAACAAGCAGTGGCGCAGACCCATACTTCTACAGACAGTGGCGCAGACTCATACTTCTACACACAGTGGCGCAGACCCATACTTCTACAGGCAGTGGTGCAGACACATACTTCAAGAAGCAGTGGCGCAGACCCATACTTCTACAGGCAGTGGCGCAGACCCATACTTCTACAGGCAGTGGCGCAGACACATACTTCAACAAGCAGTGGCGCAGACCCATACTTCTACAGGCAGTGGCGCAGACCCATACTTCTACAAGCAGTGGCGCAGACCCATACTTCTACAAGCAGTGGCGCAGACCCATACTTCTACACAAAGTGGCGCAGACACATACTTCTACAAGCAGTGGCGCAGACCCATACTTCTACAAGCAGTGGCGCAGACCCATACTTCTACACACAGTGGCGCAGACTCATACTTCTACAAGCAGTGGCGCAGACCCATACTTCTACAGGCAGTGGCGCAGACACATACTTCAACAAGCAGTGGCGCAGACCCATACTTCTACACACAGTGGCGCAGACCCATACTTCTACAAACAGTGGCGCAGACCCATACTTCTACATACAGTGGCGAAGACCCATACTTCTACAAGCAGTGGCGCAGACCCATACTTCTACAGGCAGTGGCGCAGACCCATACTTCTACAGACAGTGGCGCAGACCCATACTTCTACTGAGAGTGGCGCAGACCCATACTTCTACAGACAGTGGCGCAGACCCATACTTCTACAGGCAGTGGCGCAGACCCATACTTCTACAGACAGTGGCGCAGACCCATACTTCTACAGACAGTGGCGCAGACCCATACTTCTACTGAGAGTGGCGCAGACCCATACTTCTACAGACAGTGGCGCAGACCCATACTTCTACAGACAGTGGCGCAGACCCATACTTCTACAGACAGTGGCGCAGACCCATACTTCTACTGAGAGTGGCGCAGACCCATACTTCTACAGACAGTGGCGCAGACCCATACTTCTACAGGCAGTGGCGCAGACCCATACTTCTACAGGCAGTGGCGCAGACATCAAATAGATAGACGTCAATACAAAGACAGAAAAAGGGAGACACACACACACACACACACACACACACACACACACACACACACACACACACACAGATGGAGAGCGCGCGCCTGTGTCTTTATGTGTTTATGTCCGTGTATATAAGTGTATGTTGATGTGTTTATGTATATGTGTTGGTGTGTTTGAGTGGAGTATACGACCACTTACTCTATGATAGTCTTCTCTTCCCCAAACACCTAACCAGGACCAACACCAGACCAGTGGGTTCCAGAGAGCTCATCGGTGGACTTGTACACTGTTGTTTATAAAATTATTTCAACTCAACAAACACAGATATTTACTTTGAAAAATGTCCCTGGTGTGATTTCATCGTACTCATCTTTCCCTTATTATTTAAACCCAACATCATTTTGAGATATTTTCAGGATTCTAAGGATGAAGACCTTACACCCTTGGTACGGACATGAAGACGTTTTGGTGCAGAAGACCTCGCGAAAGTGAGTCAAACGTTTGAGCTCATATTACCTAATAAACGAGCCTCTTTCTGGATGTCGAAGTGAGAACGAGGGACTTAATTTATCTAGCATGCGCACTTGCTATTCTCACCATGCCTCCAATTTTAATAGCTGTTGATAAATCACCCAGTAGAAAGAGCGACGAGGGGAAAACAGTACTTGGAGAGCATCCCCAAACACCCATCTCCCCTGCGGCCGCCATGATGGATCACCATGACGACACATCACGTCATCAAGCCTCGAAAACTCCTCACATCGTTGCCCTAGGAGGCCCATGCTTTAATTGTAGACAAGACACTTTACACTCATTCACGACCGTCTCAGGCCTTATCAGACCCATATGCCTATAACGATAGTTGTTAGGATAGCCGTTTCCCTTCGACTCTCGCGTCTGCGAGATTTGATTTAAGACTCCGAGAGACGGGATGTTTGGGTGATGATAGTTTTAAAAAGATCTAGGTATCATACTGAAAGCGCACAAGTGTACGACACTTAACTTTAAGGAGGAAACGAGGACTTCAAACGAAAAAGCCCGGATCATATCCCAAACTTTATTAGAAAGTGCTTTTTTGGTTTTATTTACTTTGCGATATCGCCGATGTCTCTTTCGTTTTTACGGTCGTTTTGCAATCCCTTATGGCATGTACAAAAATCTTAACCTGCTCCTGTCTGAAATGGTTAGATTTTATCCATTCATAATGGCGCTCTTTTTTGGAGGGTTTCCGTCCCAGAAGAATGCAATAGCTGCGTTTATTGTCTAGAAAACGACACAGTGTCAAAATTAATGCGAGTCGTATTCATTTCCAGCAGTTAATCTGATTAAAAGCATGCATGAAGTACGAACAATTAAGAAAACTGAAACAAACGTCATTTCATTATACAGAAGAAAAGAGAAATGGAAGTTGGCGCAAAGAACGCTTAAAGTATTTAGAACTATATCACCATTGACTGTTTTCGTTTTTGTTCTTTCATATAAAATGCTCCTGTAGTTTCAGCCAGTCTCCATGAACTGACTCACAAAAAGGAGCAGTTATTGTAATAAATACGTTAATGAAAAAGTGTTTTCCTAACAACGTCTTAATGCCAACAAAGTATATGTGTATTTTTGAGAGACAGTTGAAAATGAATTTTGCAAGCAGAATTATATTGTTGTATGTGTAATTGTGTCTTTTTGAACGGTTTGGGCAGGTGCCACTGAAATCCAATTATGAATTACTTTTTTAATAATTAGTTGTCAGTAGCATAGTTTCTGCTCATAACTAGGTATAATTAAAAAAAAAGACACAGGCAAAAGAAGCATAAATTTGAAAAATTGGATTTGACCAACAAATTAAAAACATTATTTCATATTTATTTCATTTATAGCTGCCATCAAACATGGGTGTTTACTTTTTTGCTGAGTGCGGCGTTAAACAATAAACCAACCAACCAACCAACTTTATTTTGCCGGCTGTTTATTTGCCGACGTTCTATTGAATGCCCCGTTAGGTTTCCTGGAAATACTAGTCGACCTTAATATTGTAATAGTATTCTAGATTTTTGGTGGCATTTGGAAGTGGGACATGCAACTGATGACAAGATAATATAGATGATTATAATCACGCATATTTGTACATAAGTTGTACGATATACATCTTCCGATGGTTGCAAGCCCTGTCATCAAAGTTAGAAAATAGGAATCCTTGAAAACAAAATTTCGTCACTTATCTTTATTTCTTTTCAAAATGCATGTCATTTTATTTCAAAATGGGATTTTAATATTTAAAACTAAATTCTTTTTGTTGGATTGTTTAAGACGGATTGAAGCCATACGCTGCGCCGGCTAAATGTCAGAGTCGGATTCCCAGCAACAAACCACTCGACCTTGACAATTATGGTACAGATAATTCGTTGACAGGACGCGTTAATTATTCCAGAATCACCGTTGCTCGCGGATTCATCAAATATTAATTCAAACACTAAGGATAATTTAACAGCATGTCATAAACCATCTGCTTGAGTTATGAAAATACCCGAAAAGCTCTCTCCCGTTTATTTAATATTGTTTCCGATCGTAAAGACTCCGTTTGCAGTAAGTGTGAATTTTACGTTGGATTATACTTGTGACACTGATATGACGATTCTTTCTTGATTAGGAGGGGAATGTATGGCGTATTTTTTATTAAAATCCTGAGTGTTGCTGGTTTGGATAGATCACGCGTTTTAATCAATTTTTCGTTGAATTAAATTATTTAAAATACTCTTGAACATGGAGGTTTAATCAAGCCTTTGATTTTTTTTGTTTTAGTTTATTGTTTGTCCATCGACGACACAGAACACAGACTTGAAAGTTTAAAACTTTCTTAATCCAACATTAAAAACACTTCATTAACTTATTGATGTTATTACGACCTATCCTATAAGGGAGCCTGTTAGTAATGCGGTGTACAGGAGGCCTATTTTAGCGTTGGGGTAGCCTAGTGGACAAAGCGTTCGCTCGTAACGCCGAAGGTCCAGGTTCGATTCCCCATAAGTTTACAACGTGTGAAGCACATTCTGTTACCCCTATTCCTGGAACAGCGGCATAAAAACATACTCACTCTTCAGCACAAGACGTATTATGAAGGACACTGAACCCGATACGATGGGCTTTTTTCTTATCTGTAATGAATATTGATGTTCAGGACATTAGTTGAACAACACCAGTTCGACACCAACAGTATCAACAATAACACCAAGCAGACACATTCATTCGTGTCGTCATAGCTGCGTTTATGACGTTGTCGCTCTGTTTTTCCAGATCCAGACAAAACCTTATCGTGCTTCTATAATTACCATCCCAGGATTGCAGTCGACTCACGAGGTATTTCATTATCGCGATACTCACCTAACACGCCTAGTATTGCTAACACATGGTCTTGTTTATAAATTAGCTACAGTAAATCACACATGAGGTGGGTTGTACTTGGTAATAACGGGGAAGGGAAATTTGCAAAATATACATAATAAATATACTCCAGTAAGCAATTATCTCTACGTTATGCTTTCCTAACAAAAGGGTGGAGCTTCAGGAGAAAGGAATTATTTTATGTGAAATATCCACAAAAGAGAAGTAAGTATAAACTTTAACATGTCTTTAGGTTAGGCATGACTATGTACGTAATCGATAATTGGTCAAATTGTATTCGATCACCCATGTCACTTTTCACAATGTATATCCTGTGCCAATAATAATAATTCGACTAGGCAGCGCTTCCTGGGAGAAGCCCCATTCGCTGTCTGGGCTGCGTGTGGAGGAGGGCAAGTGCCCTGAGCTGACGATGAGCTTTACCAACCAGACTGTGCCAGGATCACCCAAACCATCTACATTTATCTATTTTAACCTGTATAATAGTAATAATAATAATAATAATAATAATAATATAAAATAATAATAATAATATTAAAAAATAATTAAAAAATATTTTAAAATATATAATAATAATAATAATAATAATAATAATAATAATAATAATAATAATACACGATGTTCGTGCAGCTACAGAATTGTAATTCTTTCATAATCAGCTTCCTGTGGAGTATACAGTTTCAGTTGCCTATTGGACAAAGGTCTCATCCAACCGGAACCTAGGCCTCATTTTAGATGGTTTTAGATGTTGAGTTTAACAGGTGCCAAAGATAAGTTTTCCGAGCTGTGGATCTGACCAAATCCACAAATTTCTGCCTTTCAGAGCCATTGTTTCCGTGTTCGTCCCGTTCACTGTTCCAGACAGACTTGTTGACCTCAAAGAGTCATCCGTCCCGACCTCGCATAGGTTTCAACATTTCAAAAACTTTACTCAAATAATTATTATTTGTTTTATTCCAGTGACGCTCTCCCCATGTACAATGTGTTCTTTTGTGTAAGTCGTGCGGGCAAAAGAGCTCTCCGCTCAGCGCCCTCATCAAACGGGACACAATCGCAAAGTTGGCATCATTTTAGATGGTTCCTGTCATTGTTGATTTTCACAGGTGCCAAAGATATGTTTGCCTCGCCGAGCTTTGGATATAACCCAAATACATGAATCACGTTCTGCCAGAACAATAATTCTCCTGTCCGACTAACATCATTGACTCCGCGTTGCCTGGATAATCTGTCGTCTCGCGATATCACAAAATAGCATTACATGAACGAGACTTCCGGAGTGGCAATCTGCTGATAAATTTAGTAGCAGTCCTCCAAATGACATTACATTCTTTTATTGCCCAGTTCAAGGTTTAGGGTCCCTACTTCAAAGCACGGTTATATTTTGACAGCCATTTTGCCGTTCCATGGAGATTCAGTCATTGACAGCAGCCAAAGATGATGATGACAGCAACTTCAAGATGGCGGCGGTGATTATGAGAGACGGAAACACCTTCGGGCTCTCGTTGTATCAGATGATGAAGAAAGATATTGATGTTTTATGTTGGAAACTTTTTGATGTCCAGGAATGGGGATTTCGGTTTTTCTCGTCATGCTTCCCCGGAGGTC